GTGTGTGTGTGTGTGTGTGTGTGTGTGTGTGTGTGTGTGTGTGTGTGTGCGTGTGTGTGCGCGCGCGTGCGCGCGCGAGCGTGTGCCCTTGTGTGCGTGTGGGTAGGGACGGGGAAGAGCAGGGGTCAGGGACCCCTGTTCCTGGTGTCCAGCTGGAAGTTCTCAGGAGGCCCACGCCCCCGTGGCTTCTCAACCACCCTCCCCTGCCTCGGCGGGTAGGAAAAGTGGTAGCCAGGACTGGAAGCCGGCCAGGTCTGTCGGAAATGTCGCTGGGGTCACGGTGGCTGCCTCTGGCCGCCCTGGCCCCGGTTCTGGGGTCAGAGCACATGGAGGGGCCTCCAGTCCTCAGCCACTGATGCTGCTGAAGTCAGGGTGACCACCTGTGCTCCCCGCCGCCAAAGGCTCACTTCTGCCTTCATCAAGGGGTCCAGCTGCCAATGCTCCCGTCACAGCAATGGGCAGTGGGAGCCCAGAGAAGGTGCCAGATCCAGACGCAGACCCGGGCCCTTACTCTGGCCTTCAAGAAGCATTGGAACGCGTCTGTTGCCACTCTTGCCCTGGCTCTCTTAACCCTGCTCTTGCCAAAAGAAATAACAAGTGAGGTCTCACCCCCTTCCCTCGGTCCCCCGAGCACCAGGCTCCTGGGCCCCAGAAGGATCCTGGTGGGGGCTGCTGGAGACAGGGGTGCGAGGCAGACAGTATTTCCAGAAGATTCTCAGCGCAAGGAGAGGCCCTGACTTACTCGAAGAGGAGGCCACCGCTGAGGCCCGGAGCAGGCAGAGGGCATGTGATGTCGGGAGGAAGAGACCCTGCTGTCCAGGGCCCCCAACTCCACGCCCCGACCAAGGAACTCGGTGAGCCGGTTCCATCCCTCTGTCCACGCCCCATAGGTCCGCCTGCCCAGTCATCTGCCCGAAAACATCCCCGTCAAGCCCCTGCTGCATACCAGGCACCATGCCAGGCTTGATGGGCCCTGAGTTGAATAAAACACAGACTCTATCTCACTACGTACTGGAGGGCCGGGAAGTGGGGAGTCAGCAGTGGAGGGGAGGCAGGAGGGGGGAGGGAAGGGGGGAAGGAGAGTGGGGAGAGGGGAGGATGGGGGAGACAGTCCAGAGACCCACAGCCAGTCTTGACAGAGTGGCCCAGCACTGAGAACCCAACCAGCCCCACTGAGCTCACACAAGCAGAGC